CAAAGTGATGTTAGTGGCATTTATTGTGTGGAATGGTTAAACGATGCAGAGCTTTTACAAGCCACTGGTAAATGAACCTTTTTACAAATGATTATAAGTCATATCTGGCAACTTACTTCATATTTTGTCGTAAATATGTAGTAAATTGCTTTTTCTTTTTTTTTTTTGAATTTATGTATTTGTTGAAATGGTACTCCACATTGATAGGGTAAAGTGACATTTTAAATTGTGCTCCATGTGATTACCAACTAATTAAAATTGTCGGTTGGAACATAACCACCAGTAAGCTGCTGCTAGCAGTAGGAGTGTAAATTACAGGTTTTGTCCCAATGCAATATTATATAGATTTTTTTAAAACAACAATATAATATTTTGCCCATATCACAAAGTCTGCCACGACATGTTATAAGTGATACAGAAATGTTAGTAGGTCTGACCCAGCTTGACTTTATGGAATGTGGTTTAGATGTGCATTGAGACATGAAGCTGATATGTTAGAATGGAGTGCTTAAAAGGACTTCAATTTATTTTTAACTCACAAAAGCAAATAAAGTTTGCGTTCACTGAAGTTATTCCTGACCTCTAAAAAACAAGAAAATGAAATACAGCCATTATCTGTACACCTTAATCCTCGTAATTGGGGACTGGAGCCTATCCCAGCTGACTCAGGGTGAAGGCAGGGGACACCTGGACAGGTAAACCAGTCTATCACAGGGCTACACAGAGAGACAGACAACCAAGCACACTCACATTCACAGCTACGGACAATTTAGAATCACCAATTAACCTCAACATGTTTTTGGACTGTGGGACGAAGCCATAGAACCCAGAGAGAACCCACGCTGTACGGGGAGAACATGCAAACTCCACACAGAAAGATCGCCGGTGTCCTATCAGGCCAAACCAGGGATCTTCTAGCTGCGAGGCGACGATGCTAACCACTGAGCCATCTTTTAATGAAACCCTGAACACAGAATACAAATCTGAAAAAACAAAAAACTAAATCAACCTGTTCTTCACTATAAAGTACACATTTCTCATGTTTGGGTGCAAATTTATTTTATTAGTTTAGAAAAAACTTTCCCATTAATGCAGGGTACATAAAGTGTGACTTTTGAGCAACCCTTTACTCATATTTAGTGTTTAAACATGATATCTTAATCAAATAAGCTCTGTTAGAACGATTCACTAACAAGGTCACTTACAGTAGTTTTATGTGAAAATGCAGTGCAGTCTGGTAGAATCATAGGCTAGCTGTCCGTCTGTCTGGCCGTGTGCCGGAACAAGAAATATGGTATTGACCCACGTGCTTTTCAATCCATGTCTCGGTAAGAAATTTCATAACAAAGCAAATATTAACATATCTACATGGTCTTAGTGCATAGCATAGCACCACTAGCTAGCTAACATTAGGACTTCAGCTAGCTGCTGAAAAGCAGATGTGCTTTGGACACACCATGGGAATTTCAAAACAAAGGTGTACCCAAAAATGGTGAAGAGGGAATGGATCAATTTTTGGATTTTCAGTTGATGCTATTGTATTGTTGGCCATTAAACTGATATTTGACCCAGATCGATCTTTAATTGCACGATTAAATTCTGCAAATTTTTGCAACTCAGCTTGGATGTCTGACATCCTTTTCACGAGCAATAAATGACAAGAGGAAGAAAAGGACAAAATCCTGAACTCCTCAGCTGTATGGAAACTCTTTGAATTGAGTGGTGACAAGACAAAGTGTACCAAATGTTCAGTTTGAAACTGGCTTGTTTGACAGTGTCAAAAACCAAGCCCATCATAGCTACCAAACTTTGTTTAGCTAATACCTGTTGTCCACATGCCATGATGGAGCGTTTTTTTTCTTTTTTCCCCCCCATCATTTAAAACATAACATTTTCCATGATCAAAACATGTACTTACTTTGCTTGGAAATTAGTTGCAACTGAGTTGCAATTGTAAAAATAAAACATAGGAGGGCGCTAGTATGCTACTATACTAAGAAAGGACGTCTTTCTGTTTGTCTGTACTGATCAGTTTTGATGAGTCTCTATGCTCAAGCTGCTGCGAAACACCCCCATAGCGTGATGGTTTTATCACCATATTCATTGTAGGGGTGATATTAGCCAGGTGATGAAGCTCTGCGAGAGTGACTGTTGGGTGCTTGTTCACCTCTTTGGCCAAAATTTTTCATCCTTATTCAGTTTGGCAGGGTGACATTTCACAATTATTCAGGCCTCGGTGCTCCAGGGAACATCAAAGCTTTAGAAATGCATTTGTACTTGGGGCCCCAATCTACAGTTGTCCTCAAATTTATTCATACCCTTCCATTAAAGAAAAGACAAAATTCACAATAGTCACTCAAATAACTAGAAACTTAAAAAAAAGTAATAATACGTTTTAAAAATTGCTAAATTATAACGTAGTGATTCTAAATTGTCCGCAG